TTCCCACAAAAGGATTTTTGTTCATTGTCTTCATTGTCTGTGAACAATTTTACTTGGGATATAAAGCAGGAACCCTTTGTTGAAAATCAGATAGATAGACTCATTATGTTCACTCTTATATGATATATTTTTTTCTCAAAGTTTAGAAAGCAGTTTTTATTAGTGTTTAGAGCTTCCTTAAAACCATAAACTCTGAACAAACTAGTGTGGAATTAAAATAGATCTAAGTATTACCTTTTTGTTTAATCTTTAGTAAAAATTCTATGTTTCTGTATCTCCATTTATTTTAATTAATATAGTACTAAATAAACTTGCAAGGTCTTAGTGATATTGAAAATAAAAGGATATTCAGTCACAATTTTGGCCTTGACCTGTTCTTAGTTTATAGTGTTTGGCATGGACTTTTTATACATAATTCAGAAATTCGCAAGAAAGTGGAAATAAGAGTATGGAAGACTGTGTATTGATCTAAACAGGCAGTGTACACGCACATCAACTATTGCAGAACTGGAAATGACAAACAAGTTAGGGGGTCAGGAAAATGTTCACTCATACTGGACTAAGAAATTGCATTCAGCAAGTCAAACTGCTACATGTATATGTATGTTTGAAGAACAAGCATGCACTAAATCTTCCTCAGCAGTGGCATACTCCAATAAGAAGCAAGATATATATTCTGTATCATTTCAAGAATTCCAATGTAATCTTATGCACCCCTACTAATGTGCTCTGAACCTTTTATTTTTCGGTGTTCTGCAAATTAGCTAGGAAGTGACTAGCACGTGAGGACATGATAAACACACAAATTATGTTACGTTTCAGTTTTTACCACTATATAATATCAGTAGGAATGTACTTTAACGAGGTTCGCTCCTGAGCTTTTGAGCAGATTTTTATCTTAACCTATATTTTAGAACTCTGCATTGTGTTTTAATTCTTACAATAAATTTGGATTCTACAATGCCAATTAAACTATATTCTGTTAAAATTCATTGATTAAATTCCATATCAAAAGCATTAAGTGAGGAACTATATTTTGTGGCTGGAGTTTTTATTTTAGAAGAAAATGATCATTTTTATCTCTTTCAAAGTTTTTAAAGTATGTTAGGTTTGGATTTCTATTTTTAGACGCAGTTTGCACAAAGATTTATTTTGTGCAGTGAACTGTTTTATACTGGTCCTAAATTATATATTTAATAAACTGTCATGAATTCAATCATCATATTTGATAAATATAGAAAATATATGGTGAAAATCAAGAAAAAATTGCCCTAATTTAAGCTAAAAATTAGCACTATTTTAGTAATACCTAAAAATTAACATCACAGACCCCCACTTTTAATTTTCTTTTCTGAATATATAAGATACTTTTAACCGTTCTTCTTAAATTCAGTGAATTGTCATTACTTTCAAATGATTTTTATGCTTGTTAATTTTTTAATGCCAGAAAAATGAAATTTTTTGAGTGCAAAAAGGTCAAATAATTGATTGATTGATTGATTGATTGTATGTTTTTTTACGTCCCATTCGAGAATTTTTCACTCATATAGAGACGTCACCATATACCGGTGAAGGGCTACAAATTTAGACCTTTACTCGGCACTCAGGGCCATTGAGCAGTGAGGGATCTTTATCGTGCCAACTCCTGCCGTGACACGGGGCCTCGGTTTTTAAGGTCTCATCCGAAGGACCCTCAAATAATTGAACATGCGGAGTAATTTGTACATTTTTTCATTGTCACAAATTTCAATGTTCTATTCAAGATGAAACACGACTGTGTTTGTTCCCATAATTTATTTGAATAAAAAATATTGGAGGAAGAACTTCAAAAAATGATTTATGTGTAAGACGTATTTACGTTGCAAAAATGTCAAACTAAATGCTCTCTAGCACCAAAAGAAACGAATTGACCCCCAGTTTTTGTTTTGATTTCTGAATAAGCTATGTGTATAAATTCTTAAAATATACTTGATAAAAATTCTCATTACATTTGATGACCGGATCCAACCACCTTAATAATCTTTTATAGAATTCATTCAAACTTCAGTAAGTATTCTTGATGAATATGATAAATATATTTTCTGCAGTTATATAACGATATTCTTTTTGAACGAACATGCTTTATAGGAACTATAATTTTTGGCGTCATAGCAGACTAATTAACATGCTAAACAAAGTACAAACGTGACTTAAATTTGACAAATCAGCTGAATGAGTTCAATTGCATTATGGGTTACAACGAATACTACAGAAATTTTACGCTGGGTAAAAAAACCCAAATCTACACACGATCGGAAAAGCACAATGAACTTTTTTCATGCATTTCATAGATGATGTTGTGATCTGAATTGTCTTGGGTGTTTTTTCCGTTTGTCCAATCATGACAATGAGTACTCGGCGGTCGTGACCGGTCGATAGGGAATATTTACTCCTCCATGGGACCTGATCTCACCTCTGATGCTTTTAGAGGTATTGTTTGATAAACTTTTGAACTTTATGATGGTTCGCAATCTCCATAGTTCATTTTATGAACAATCGATAGACCTAAACTAATAAATGATGATCAAATTATTTACATTTATGGTCATGTTTATTATTTTTTTTCAAACAAACAACTTGGCCACTGGAATTTGTGGAGGTCTTAATTATTGAGGAAGGCCAGGTACATTGAATACATTCTGAAGCTGGAAAAGGGGGATTTAGAAACTATAATGACTACTATTCGAACAAGAGAAATCTACAGACTAGTTATCCAACCTGTACTAGGAAATTGTATTCTTAACTGTTTTTGTTTGACTATAAGGTTCTTATGTTCGCCTGTACCCGAATAAAAGATATTTTAACCACAATCCAGACTTTGTGTTATAGTATGTAAGCCGTGTAACAGCTTTCCAGCAAAAAAAAAAATAATAATAATAATAATAATAATAATAATTGATCGTGCGATGCACCTAAAAATTATGTATCTGTAATTATGTAATTTCAATGGTACATGTAACGAATGGCTGCTAAAACACTATTTACATTTTTTTTTATTTTAATGTTTATTTCGAAAAGTGTACGCATCTTTATTTCAAATTTTCAACAAGTGTGGAACTACAGATTATAAAATGTACATTTGCTTTGGCAAGTTACAGCATCGAATTTTTTTTTTCATGTTAGTGTTGTTCTTAAGAAATGCATTATATACTATGTACACGAGTATCACGAGAATGATTCAAAGTTTAGATATAAAATTTAAAATTAAATTGGGAAATAAGAAAGTGAAATGTATATTTTGAGAGATCTAGAAAATAATCCCACGGTGAATTTGAAGTCTTGTCTCTTCGTGCATGCAATACTAGTCCCCTACCGGCAAGTGTAATCTGGTTCCCGTTAAAAATTGAAAATGCCATATTTTTTTTCTTTCAAAAATCATAGAAGCGAACGATATGCAAACTAAATCTATAACTAATCAAGGTTAAGTCCCATACCAAAAATCAGCTCAATATCTGCAAGTGTTTAGAAAACAATTGCGAAAAACCCTTAAAAATTAAAAAGGTCGTAATTCCGTAAAATGTCAATGAAGCGGAACGAAAGGCAAACTTGATTTGTAACTCATTAATATACACTCACATACCAAAAATCAGCTCAACATCTGCAAGCGTTTAGGAAAAAAGTGCGGAAAACGAAGTGGGACAGACTGACAGACAGACAGAGGGACAGCTCGAGGGACAGACAGACAGACAGACGGATGGACAGACGCAGAGGAAACCTATAGTCCCCTCCGGTAGGGGACTAAAAATAATAATAGAACTTCTTACATTCTTACGATAAAAAACCTTTTCAGCACTTAGATCGTTAAAAAAAAACTTTGATATGATGAAACGGATTACAATACAAGGATAACTTAACACAAAGGAAATTTAATGTGATATGACGTGACACATCAATTTATACGTCAGTAACTCAGAGTCCTCTCACAGTGACTCTTGACAACGCTACTAAACCAGAAATGTACTGAAATTCCCATCTGTTACCTACAAACTTAGACAACTGCTGACATTGAACTGTCTTTACTGCAAAACTTAAAAAACAACTTATCTTAATACTGTCAACACCGGTGCTGATAAACTTAGATAGTGCTAAATCGGTGCTGATAAACTGAGACAATTACTAACCCTTTTCCCTAATAAGAAACTTTGACAATTGCCGACATTTACTGATATTAACAGGCCCTATTGTTCTCACTCTCTGGACCGTTCACGGTAGCTCAGTCGGTAGAGCGCTCGCTTCGTGATCGGGAGGTCGTGAGTTCGAATCTCGGCCGCGACTGACCTAAGTCAATAAAAAATGGGTAGCAGCTGTTCCTTCGCCATGCGCTCGGCACTTTGAAGTGAAAGTTCCAGGTTCTTTCGGATGAGACCTTAAAAACCGAGGCCCCGTGTCACTGTAGGCGTTGGCACGATAAAGATCCCTCACTGCTCAATGGCCCTGAGTGCCGAGTAAAGGTCAAAATTTGAAGCCCTTCACCGGTATATGGTGACGTCTCTATATGAGTGAAAAATTCTCGAATGGGACGTAAAACAACAATCAATAAATCAATCAATCTCACTCTCTGGGAGACTGCTGAGGTGTGAATTTGAGATTTTTTTTCTTAAAAGACAGGTTGATTTCATTAAAAAAGTTTAAAAATCTTCTTGTTCTTTGTCTACAGTAGAATTATTTAAAAATATTTTATAAGGGAAACATATAAATTAATACATAATAACTTTCAGCAGATAGGCATTTTTTAAGTGAAGAATTCAAGAATTTAAAACAAAAATGATGACATCATATTACCGAAATCGAATTCTTTAATCAACCTCAGGGTAGCAGAAGCAAATTTCTTTTAAACCTCCAAATACCTTGCTAAAAATTGCCCGCCCATATAACATCTGTGACTTAGTCACAAGTTGCTTTTTATTATGTATATATATCTGGCATTTTATTGTATTATAAGTGTATATCCAAGATCATTTTGAACAGTAGAACGACTCATTTTCAACTACTCCCATTTAATGCAAGAATGGCACGCTCCATGTTGCTCATTTTAGTTCTGGTTTGCGTCGCTGAAATTAAAGTTGTTGCATTTCATGACCACTTTAGAAATGTGGCGTATGGAAAGCATGCAATTCAAAGTTCAAGTCATCCAAAGTTTCCAGCATCTAAAGCTGTCAATGGTCTCCTTTCTGACTTTTCCCATACTGAAAAAGAAAGATCACCTTGGCTTCGAATTGATCTTGGGAGAATCTACGAAATACACCAAATAGAAATCTTCGCTAGAAAGAACTGCTGTGGTAAGTATTCATCAGTTTATATATTAAACTCTTCTTTAATAAATTTGTTTTGATAACACTTTATTTTTTTTTCAAGAAATTTAATATACCGAGGAAGATTTTATGAAGTTCTAATAAAACAATGCACTGTTGACTATCCCAAAAAGGTAACTGCACATTGCAAAACATTTTTTATGGTTTATTTTAATGTGATATTGTATATTACACAACAATCGTTAGCGTTTTTTTCTGTCTAATCATCATTTTAATGCAACCATTTTACCCTCTCTCACCCATTTTTTTCCGAAGAAGTGATGCATATTGCTTGGTAATATTCCCTTTTAAGATACAAAACCTTTTTACACTGGTTGGCCAGGATAAAAGATTACAGGATGATAGATATTCAGAATTGTTCTCTGTTACTATTTTGTAGCTACATCACAAGTCTGCTTAAGGAGTGAATTTGTAGCTCCCAATCATTAATCTTTTTTTTCACAAAAAAATTAGCTACGTTAATCTTTTGCGCCATCCTTAGTAGTTTTTACATGAAAAATCAGCATGTTTACTGCAATAACATATTGTTACATCAGATTTGTATTATCTATTTTATAACCGAATTGCTCAATAGTAATCTAAAAAGATTGTATTTGATTAGATGTACGCCAAATTAAAAAAAAAAATGAAAACAAAGGATTGCTCATACCTATTTTTCAAGAATATGTATTTTTAAAAAGATTCTTATTATGATTTTCATTTTAAAATTTAAAATCTTTTCTACTACAATATAAATTGTATGTGGTTTGTAATTTAAACATGTCATGTCTTTAATATTGTATTTGTATCTAAACTGATAAACCAAAGGACACTGGCTTAGATTTATAAATTCATCAACGTATTGTATCTGAAGGATGCCAAATATTTTAAAAATTATTTTAATTATGATTATATAGATGGCCGACTTCATGACGTTGACGTTAAAGTGGGGAAAAACGTATACTACATGCATTTTTGCGGTCATTTTATGGGACCAACAAAAGCTGGACAAAGGTTCTCTGTATGGTGCCCATCAAAAACATATGGTCGATATGTACAAATACAGATCGTCGAGGGATCAGAAAATATTCTAGACCCGGCAGAGGTTGCTGTATGGGGACGTTTGTGATTTATCAAAGAAATCTCAATAAATAGAATTTGAATGAAATGAATAATTCTTACATTAGGGTTTTTTGTACTCATATGTTATATACCTCTGGGATGAAAGATAGAAGGCATTATATTTAATACAATATTCGCGTTTTAGCAAATATCTTATTTGCTTTTAAATCTTTGAAATATGGTACATGTATATTCTTAAGTTTGACTAACATATTGAAAATTTAATGAACTGTTTAATTTACCCAAATCCAGGAGACCTTGTTCACACACACACACACCCACACACACACCCACACACCTACATGTGAAAGGTGTCAAACGGGGACAGGGGTTAAAGACTGTCAAAGTGGGGACTTCTTTATTTTTATTATTTCATTGACTTTTGACCAAAAATATTAGTTCTCCTATAACTCTGATGGCGAATATGATGAGAATATGTCAATGTCTTTAATTTTAAGCCAAGCACTGTTTACAGCACAAACGAGGACCTATTTCACACTCATTAATATTCACAAACCAGTACTTGATTCATTGTATCTAATCGGGGACATTTTCAAAAAAGAATGCAAAATACTCCCTTTTGTGCCTTTTATTCATTAATTACCACCGTTCTCATCACTGATTAGGATTCTTGTCTTCATAGGTACTTGAATGTTTTATATTTTAAATCAAATATGGAGATAACGAACAGTAATAAGCCCCAAAAGTCCATTGAAACCCATAGGCACTCCCCAGCTTAATTTTCAAAAAATATATATCTACTATACTATAAACATGTTATGTTTATAGTATAGTAGATATATTTTTTTAAACAATTAAGCTGGAGAGTGCCTATGTTGAAACCGTACAAATTGTGAGCAGGGCAAACACGGACGTTAAAAACACTCGAGTTCACAGTGCCATGGAGGAGTAAGCACCCCCTGCCGACCGGTGTGGCATGCTATTTGGTCCGCCTCGTTTAAAGGTGGGGGGGGGGGGCTAATACGATAACATATAAGGTCCGCCTTTTATAAGAAAAGGCCCGGCCCGTATAAGAAAAGGTCTGACTACGTTTAAAGGTCCGGGTAGTAAAATTAAAGATAGTTTGTACAATATATCTCTAGAGCAGGAATTCTACTCCTTATTTAGTTGCTTTTAGCAGTGCAGTTTATTTTGTTTTAACATTTCCATGCTTGTGGTGTGAAAAATGCATACAAAAATCGCCTTGGACTACAGATGGCATTACAAAGATAGTTTTTTTAATTACCTTGATATTTTTATGATCGATGATTTTAGCATTTCAGAAGAAAATCCAGGTTTATATATTAACACTACATGTAACAACAACCCCCCCCCCCTCCCCCCCCCCCCAAAAAAAAAAAATGAGAGCCCAGACGAGAGATATTATTTTGTTTTGTGTCTTTCTTAAAATTTATTTATTTATTTATTTTTTATCTTTTTTAAGCTTATTTCTATTTTTTTTTCTTGTTGGTTACATTTTATTGTGCTTTTTTATGATGTGTAGTTATAAAATCTCGGCGGAAAACTCAGATTCATCTAATACTAGAGGCTTTTTTGCCCCTTCCCCCCAATCCCCTTTAAAAAAGTTACACAGTTCAGATTTAATTGTTTGTTTGTATGTTTTTTCTCTGTTTCAAAAGTTTTATTCTACGATTTTATGATCGGTAATTGAACAATTTCAGAGAAAACTTAAATATTTACAATAGATGATCCCCACCCTTTTCCAGAGAGAGAGAGAGAGAGAGAGAGAGAGAGAGGTTAGAGAGGTTAATCAATATAATAAACCACATGTAAATTAAATCAAGCCGTTCGTCTAAAATACTTTCAGTCCTGGTGATTTTTCCCAAATGATAATTATGTTCCGGAATTTATTCCTTTTTGGAACAGTTTAGAGAAGCCGTTTCGATTGCATCTTTCCTCGCACAAATGACCCGAAGAACTTAATAAAGAAATCATCCTCTCCAGCCGTCACTACACTTATCACAGGAAGCAAATACACAAGATTTGCTGAAGAAACACTGCATTATTAACGCAAATGATACTTATCGCTGTAATATAATTTCTATCTAGTGATCATTTCGGCACTGAACTCCCTTTTCTCATTAACGAAAGGACCCCCCCCCCCAACTCCCTTCTTTCACGTATCTGCTGAAAATGCAACTTTCTTAGACAAAGCGTTCTTCCTTGCAGTGGAAAGCAAGCTCACAGAGCAATCATCTTTACTCCGTCTTTACTGTTTCCTTATTAAAGCAATCCCAGAATCCACAAACTTTTATCATGGTACATGACTTGCAAATGAAGGAAAGTTTTTGACCGTTAGCCAGTCATTATATTCTCCATGATAAATAAGTACCTATTCTTAGAAAAAGAAGGATTAATTTTTTGAAAAAAAAATACCAGTCTGTTTATTCCTGCTTGATTATAGATGACAATTTTGCTTAAGTTAAGACAAAATTAAAATTTGATTACACGTATTTATTTCCGCTACGCAGATAATAGTGCATTACCACAAGAAGTAAATTCGGAATTTTCAGTGTGGTTAGGGTCCATATTTTTTAATGAATAAATGCATACAATTTATCAGGATGAAGATTTCCGCAGAGGATAAAGGTGTTCATGATCAAACATAAAATTTAGAGACCAATCATGGGGGGGGGGGGATTTCTGCTACTTTCTCTTTTAAGGTCAAGATCTAGTAAATGAAAGGTGCCTACAGATTTCTCAAATTTGAGAAATAAATTCCTTTAATGGTGCTTTCTAACTTTAGCTTGGTCAGATAAGGTGTTTCGGGCATAATTTGTAGATGAACAAGACGAAAAATCATATTTTAAACTGTCATTTTCAATGGAAAATTAAGAAAACCGGTCATGAATACCGGAGTTTTTTTTCCATATCAGACAAAGAAATGTATCCAGATTGCCTATAGTCTATCAGAAAACGGTAATTTGTATGTTCTTGGCCTCTTCTTTAAAATAATATTAAATTGAATATAGGTATCGGGATTACTTTTCACATGATTTCAAATTGAATTCTATGAAAGTACTTTTTTTTCTACAAAATTCTACTAGAGCCATAAAGTACGGGAAAAAGAAAGTTAAAATTGATTATGACGTCATTATGGATCTAGTACCAAAAAGTTAGTCTGAAGTCATTTACTAGATCTTGACCTTAAGCATACATTTTGTGCACCCCTCCTTCAAGTACTAGTGTGATGTACATTTTTTATATTTAAAAGAAATTACTCCTCGCGCATTGTCACAACAGCACAACTGTATTTCTAAATAAAATTCGATTTCGCGTTATGTAAGGAGTTTTCAATGTAATACATCGTCGGAGACCATAATGGTTTGGATTTAATTCTTTCTTATAACGTTTCAGTCTAATTTCAGATCAATTGAAAAATATTTATGTCTCAATAAGCGCTGATAATTTATTTTAGTCATTTATGGACATTGGCAAGCCACGGTTATCCGGAGGAAAAAAAATTAATTCATAGGTTTTTCCACTTATAAAATTGATTTATACCCCTCTTCCTCGCCTGGGATGCATTGTACTACCGGAAATTTCTCCAGCCATTACCGAAAATATTCATATAATCATTATTCAAAATTTTATAAGGTAATATTCGAAACATACGGAAGCCGGTAGGTGCCAGGTAGAAAAATATTTTTCTGGCGGCCGCCAGTTATAACTTATCTGGCGGGCACCTGAGAATTATATGGCGACCGCCAAATATTTATCTGGTGGCCGCCAAATAATTATATGGCAAAAATAAATAATAAGAAAGCGAAAATTTTGGACAGGGTTCTTTTCTGTAGCATAAAAACTAGAGAAAGGGGCAGTGCGGACCTTTAACGCAGTATGATAAAAGGTCCACCCTTTTTATTTCAGATATCTTACTATTACAAAGCGATAATTTTGGACAGGGTTTGATTCCTTAACATAACAAGTCAAAATGGCAGGGCGGACCTTAAAACACAGCAATAATAAAAGGTCCGCTCTCTGTATTTCAGATATCTATATTTTCGTAGCATACAAATAATAGAAAGTGACAAGCGGACCTTAAACCATCCCATATAAAAGTTTCGTTCTCTGTATTTCAACTATCTACATTTTACAAAGCAAAAATTTCAGACATGGTTTATTTACGACAGTAGCATAAAAGCTGTAGAAAGTGGCTGGGCGGACCTTAAAACGCAGCATAAAGAAATGTCCTCCCTCTGTATTTCAGGTATCTTACTGTTACAAAGCGAAAATTGTGGACAGGGTTTATTTTCGTAGCATAAAAATAAGAGAAAGAGGCAAGGCGGACCTTAAAACGCAGTATAATAAAAGGTCCGCCCTCTGTATATCAGATATCTTACTATTACAAAGCGAAAATTGTGGACAGGGTTTATTTTCGTAGCATAAAAATAAGAGAAAGAGGCAGGGCGGACCTTAAAATGCAGTATAATAAAAGGTCCGCCCTCTGTATTTCAGTACAAATCAAAAATTTTGTACAGGGTTTATTTTCGTAGCATAAAAATAAGAGAAAGAGGCAAGGCGGACCTTAAAACGCAGTAAAATAAAAGATCCGCCCCCTGTATTCAGGTATTTCAGATATTTTACTGTTAGAAAGCAAAAATTATGGACAGGGTTATTTACTGTAGCATTAAAACTAGTTGTTCTCATAGTCTTTTTGTAATATACTGAAACGCAAAAGAAACGCAAAAGCAGTAATCTACAAATATTTGAATTTTTTATCTAATGATTTTCAGAAATGAATACACTTAGGTAAAACTTGATTTGAAAACATCAAAGATTTGATGAAAATGTTAAATGATTATCTTTTAACCTTAGAAAGTAACACATGACTGTTAAAACACCCCCCTTCTCAGCCATTCAATTACAGCGTGCAAGTCTGCCATGCACAACAACTGCAGCTTGATTTCTACGATGCAATAGGTTCATCAATCTCGAGACCTGAGCGAAAGAAATATTCTTTGCCATTTTTAAATGCCTGTTTTTTCAGATGATGAGGTCGAATTTTCTCCAGCCAAGCGCAGT